ATCAGAGCCCAGTCAGACTAAGCTGGTCCATCAGAGGAGTCATTTCAAAAGCCTTGTTGTCCTCGGCTGGATCCTGGACCTGATCTGTCCCTGCAGAGGAAACGCAAGAAGTCACAAACAAACACTCGGAGCTAAACTTTGATGTTTTCATTGCTACATGCTGACCTTTGACCCTGAAGCATTGCAGACTAAAACGGTGCACTGAAATCTTTGGCTTCTATAAGCTGTGTGTGTCTGGCTTAGTGAAACTAGGTAGCATCATTGTGAGGTCGTGGGGCATAAAGCTCTCTCGATGCCCTTTCTTATGACTTGAAATGCTTTTTTAAAGTTAACTAAACTACAAACAGACAGAACTGATGTAAAGATAGGACGTTAGACACATTCACAGCGATTACAACTCACCTTTGACTGTGAGCCACACCCTCTTGTATCTCCAGGCCTCCTTGCTGTTGACCTCACAGGCGTATCTCCCAGAATCCTTCACTGTGGGCTGTCTCAGGGTCAGACCGAGGTCTCCGGTGGTCAGCAGGTCAGTGTTCATCTCAGTGCGACCTCTGTAATGGTCGTCCTGTTTGTCGGGCCGGTCAGAGCCGTTCTCATACACACAGACCTTCATGTATTCGGGTTCATGGCGTTTCCACTCCACATCGCTGTCCCCGGGCAGGTTTTCTGTGGTTTTGAAGGGCAGCAGGACAGACTCCGCCCCCTCCACCACCTCCACCTGGCACTCTGAGAGGAGAACAGCACAACATGAGCTGTACGAAGACACGGCATTCATGTTTGTCAATTAATTTTAATTTATGCAGCATTTGAAACACGTGTTCATCAGGAAGCCACAGAAGCATCACATCAGCAGCAGCATCACTAAGTCACCAGCTTCATCTCGATGCTGGTCCCAGCTGCTCTGTTGGATTGATCAAGTCAGTCATTTGAAGACGAGGGCCTGAAGACGTGTGATCAGTGACACGCAGTTACACTGTTACTAAGAAGCCATGTTTGCAGTTCATCTACATGTCAGTCTCACTAAAATGCATTGAAGTCACAAACACACTGATTAAAGAGGTCTGTCCAACACCAGGTTTGCTACAAGCTTTATCGCTTCACACAAACGCACTGAACTGTTCTATAAACAGGGTTGATTTTAACTTTATAAGGATTTGGACATCAGCAGAAATGCAGCACAAACATGGCTGAAAAGGCCTGTTGTACATACGTGGAAGTGTGATTACGTCTTTCACTCTAAACAATGAATAATCCGGACGAATAGAAATGATATTGTTATAGAGTTGTTTTTAAATCTATCTGATTAGAGTCCTGGTGCCTCACTTGGCCTTTATATAACTCACCGTCATTATTTATGTACTGATTTGTTTCTAATTGCTTTCGCAGTGAACACTACACATGTTTAAGATTGAGAGCAGAGTGCAGTCCTG